TTGCCTGCGGCAGCAGGGCTTGCTCACGACGTCGAGACAATGCACCTCAATGAAAATAATACATCGAGAGAACTCGATGACGAAAGACCCCGTGCGGCTGATCCACCCCCTGCTGTCACGGGGGGCATCGGGATACCGATTCCTACGGCTAGTGCTCTTCAGTGCCGGCAGGCGCAGCTGCGTGCAGATACACCCGTTCGTTCTGAATCCTCCGAAGATAACCCTCTGACGCCCCGCAATGATTCTGGTCCTCTGGTATTTGACGGCCGGGCTAGCATGTCGTGAAGAAGGACAATTCTACGGAATACGAAGTCATGGGACACCATGCGCAGTGACTACCTTGACCTTTGTGGGCGGGGAAGCGCTCGGCCAGCGGCATCTAGTTGTCCCACTTAAGACTGTCCTGCATCCTTTCCCGTATTTCCTCTCGTTTATCTCCTTTGCATCATTCTTAGTTCAACACCCCCGCATAGCTATTTCCTATCTCTATCTAGCATCGCAATCTGGAACCCAGCTGCCCTTGGTTTTAAATTATACCCCCTTTTCGCATCGCCGGATTGCTCCTCTCGGTCGGCTTGGCCAGGTTCTCCATTGCGTCCTCACTGGCTGTCCGACAGTGCACTCCAGCCGGCTGGTATTGGCGTTTTTGGCATCTGCATACATTCTGCGATCTCGCCAAGGTTGCCGGTGGTCCCTCGACGATCTCCCCGTCTGCATTCGTTCTCCTGTTACCAATTTTCCCTTGCGTTTTATTTTGATAGCGCCTGATTGAGCATGTGTGTACATACATCATTTATACTGCGACCGTGCGTGGGAACCGCACTGGCCAACTCTGCTACTAAAGCAACAATGCCACTTCTTGGCTCGCCCGAGTCCATCTTCCAATCCTCTTGCGACCGTTTCGCCACCGAAGGGCGGTCGGACCAGTGATTCTAAATAGCGTTTGTCGGGGGCTTTCAGAGCGCCTGCACATCCACAATTTCGTGCGGAGATCCAATTAACGACCCCACGCGTGCTGGGGAACTGAAGCGACGTTCCCTCACAGAAAGATCGGCACCCGCATCGAACATTACGATAGGACGAGGACGCGGGAACGCTGCACTTTTAAACTATGCCGGACTATGATTAGCGGCCCTCACCACCACGGTTAGTGTGGAGTTTCGACTCCTGTGATTTGCCTGAGGGATCGGCGTGCCCCTCCAACTTCTTTTAGTGGAAACCATCGAACCACCCGAACACTTTGTTTTGGTTGACCGCTGCCCTTTGCCAGTTCCCTCACTTCTCTCCCTTTTTGAAAGAACATTTATCCCAGAACACTCGAATGACAGCAGGAAAATGAGATTAAACTTGAGCGCCCCGTCAACCCCGGCGCTGAGCCGTCAAAGCACGTTTGTTCGACATGGCACACATCCGCATCTCCTCTCCCATCGACAGAAGCCGCGAAGGTACGTACCGCGTATCTCTAAACAGGATCGGATCTGATCGAAGACTCCTTCAGATGGCCTCTCGTATTCCGATTCATCAAAGGCGCCATCCACGGCGCCATCATTATCCCTGTACTCTTTCACGCGCTGTTTACGGCCTTCGTCGTTTGTCTAGATCTGTATATCTTTGATACCGTCGGATTACCCAGTAGCATCGTAAGCTTGGTTCTCATTCTTATTATCTCCAAAGAGCATTTAACTCACCACCAACCACAGATCCCCTCCCTCTCGATAGTGGTGGGCCTCATGCTCGTCTTCCGCAACCAAACCAGCTATAACCGCTTCTGGGATGGTCGCAGCAGCCTCACAACCGTAACAACCTGCGTTCGCAACCTGGTCCGTACCATCCTCACCAATGGCTACAGCACCGCGCGTCCCCTCCGTCAAGACGAAAAAGAAGACATTGAACGCACTATCCGCATCCTCACGGCCATACCTTACGCTGTGAAAAATCACCTCCGCGCCGAATGGGGCGCGGCCTTTTACTCCTTCGGCGACGATGTCGGCGAGGACGGAGTCGCAGCATATAACCCCGACTACGCGAATCTGCTCCCAAAGGGACTCGAGGGTCACGAGGACGAAGGATTGCCACTGCCATTCCAGTTGAGTTTCTTCGTAGATGGATTTATCAAGAGAGGTGTCGAGAGAGGTTGGTATAATGCGCCAGGGGCGAGTCAGATGCAGGCGCAGTTGAACTCGTTGATGGATGCTGTGGGAAAGATGGAGATGATTCGGTTAACGCCTATTCCTGTTGCGCATTTGTGAGTCTCTTCCTTCTTTCATACCTCAATTCATCGGTAATTGTCCTTGAAGACGATACTGATGACGATATAGGATCCACCAAAAACAAGTCCTCGCTCTTTTCGGCTGTGTCCTGCCCTTCGGAATGGTCGATGACCTGGGCTGGTGGACTGTCCCCATTGTCAGTCTGGTTATTTTCACCTTGTACGGAATCGAAGGAATCGGATCACAACTGGAGGATCCGTTCGGATACGACCGGAACGATATCAAGATGGACGCGATCGTCGGGGACTCCAAGATGGAGATCGACGTGGTGTTATCGGAGTGGCAGAAGTTGATGTCGTTCGTGGAAGTGGAGACACCGAGACATGAGAACCAATGTGTCGAAGACCATAATAACAAAGAGAAGTTCCCTCCTGAGATGTTCGTCAAGCATCGGCCTGTGACGGGGAGGGTGTGATTTCGTCGACTGGGCGAGACGTCAGGTTCGCGAAGCGGGTATGGAGAATGTAAATAAAAGTTGGGATAACTATGCATACTGATTGATTCATGGCTTTATGTTTACGATAGCAGCATCACTTTACAATTATTTACGCAATGTACTTATCAGACCCTGTTAAACATACAAACCCTTTACTCACAAAACCATCCCCCAAAAACACCACTCAACCCGGATATATCCCCTCCCTTCTCCAACAAGAGGAACCCTCAACACAACCCTCTGAACACCGTCCCCATCGAACAAAGAACACCACCACAGTATCCCCAACACCAAGAAGGAAGAGAACCCAGCAAATCAACCCTCCATCTCAATCCCCAGCTTCAGAACAAACCATCCACAGCCTCAAACCGGCCTCACATGACACAACAACCGAGTTCCATAAAAAGAGGTCAGGCTCTATTGTCAAAACCTTCAAAACCGTCCAATTTACCTTCTGGGAGGAATATATTCTTGATGCAACTCATTCTTTCGGACGCGCAGATAGATTCTCAGATGTCACCTTGCTTCCTCAATCGACATAGGCGGGTTTCGTGGAGAATCAGTCTACTTTCGTGCTTTGTGACGAGGTCCATGGTGACTTGTTTGCCGTGGATTCGAGAAAAGGGGGGTAGATTTAGTCATACTTATGTGTTTAGATTGGGGAGTTGATGGTGGTTTATGTATGTATTTTGGTATGTCGGCACGTAATAGTTTGGTGGTTCTGATCGGCAATGGGTGGAGATTTGATCAATGCGGATCCGGGGCAGAAATGGAGCTCATTGATCCTTGGTACGTACCGTTGATAGTAGGTACATATGTACATAGTTTAAATAGACTAGCGCGCTCGGGACGCTTTGATATCCACTCTAGCTTAGTAGAGTGATTACTATATATCGACACTCCAGGAAACAAGTATTTGGGTAGTGAAAGGAATGATCATATATTCAGTAGCATGGCAGTATGTATGCCTTAAAAGTTAAGACAGTGCTTCTCACAATGACTTTCAATTTGGGGCGAAACTTAAAATAATTCGAGCCGAAATCCTTCCAGGCAGTACAATTTGACAATCCCACTCGAACACAATGCCATATGCCACTACTAAGGTCGTGTCTTGGGCACTCGATCTCTAACAGACTTCACAGAGATAGAGATAGCGGTGTCACGGACTCACTCTTGAGAATGTACGTCTTCGGAAAAGTTATCAGTTCCATGAGCTGCTGAACTGGATGAATATCTCACTCACCAGAACAATCAATATTCATGGATCCACTTGTGATTGTTGGGACACCTCAATGGTTGAGCTACTCTCGCTCCGCGAGTTATGTCAGTCGTCGTTCCATGAACCAACATATCCAACAGCCCCAAAACCAAGTGATACGGTCGAGGTAAAAGGGACATAGGACTTACCCCTTTGACTGTAGAGCATCCATGAGTAGCTTTCTGAGAGCTTCCCTCCCATCCCCCTCAGCGTATGACAGTGGCGTGCGGCCATGCTTGTCTTTTGACTTAATATTGACCTTCCCAGTTTCAAGAAGTGGCTCTACCGCTGAGAATATTGTCCCCCCAAGCTCATCAGGCAGTTTCTTCCACCCTTCTACGGCGTACGGCAGTGGTGTACGCCCATCTTCATCCATTGACTCAACATTCACCTTGCCGGTTTTAAGAAGCGCCTCTAAGGGCTGTGGATCTAGCCACTTAGCTGCCGCAGCATAAGAGAGAGGAGTGCGTCCACAGTTGTCCATTGAATCAACATTCACTTCCTCAGTTTCTAGCAGCGCCTTTAGGGCAGATTGACGTCTCCGCTCATCTGCCGCAGCATGTGAGAGTAGAACGCAGTTCGGCCTTTTAACTTCTAGCAGGCAATTTATGGCTGTTTGCGCTCCCCAATCAGCTTCTGCAGCGTATGACAATGGAGTGCGACCATCAATATCCCTGGAGTCTGGGTTCACCCTCCCCGTAGCACACAGCTGCTTTATTACATGTCCATGTCCAGATTCTGCAGCGAATGATAACGGTGTTCTTCCCCTATCCTGCCTAAAGTCAGGATTCACCTTTCCTGTATTATATAGCTGCATTAATGCACGTTCATGTCCACGTGCTGCAGCGTATGATAATGGAGTGCGACCATCATTATCCCTGGAGTCAGGATCCACCCTGCCCGTATCATATAGCTGCTTTATTACATGTCCATATCCATGCATTGCAGCTAATGATAATGGTGTTCTGCCCTTATAGTCTCTAGAGTCTGGGTCAACCCTGCCAGATGTTATCAGAAGATTCACAACCGATTCCTGGCCCCTCATTGCCGCTAATGATAGCGGTGTTCTTCCCAATATGTCCTTAGATTCTGGATCCACATTCTCTGCATCGAGTAGGACTCTTACCACCTTCTCATGTCCCTGTTGTGCAGCATGAGATAATAATGTCAATCCGAAATCGTACTTGAGGTTTGGGTCAAATTTGACTGTATCAAGCAGGAGCTTGACTACTGTGTCATGTCCCCTATCTGCAGCTAAAAATAGTGGCGTTTCCTCCACCCTGATCATATGGCCTGGGCTAGACTCTACCCCTGCAACATCAAGTACTTGAGACTTGACCTTGAAGTCTGGGCCAACCTCTCCTGAATCAAGAAGGAGCTCGACTACTTTGTCATGTCCACCTCTTGCAGCCCATGATAATGGCGTTTTTCTTGAATAGTCCTCGGAACCTGGGTCAACCTTCCCGGAATGTAGAAGGAGCTTTACCACTATCTCATGTCCATATTCTGCAGCCCACGATAGTGGCGTGCGCCCAAACTCGGGGTCTTTAACATTCATGTCCACTCCGCCAGCATTGAGAAACATGCCCACTAATACTTCGAGTCCTAAGTAAGATACTATGCATATTGTGGGGGCGCGGGGGAACCAGAGAGATACAGCTGGGCCAATCTTCTCATACTCGCACCGTATCCAGAATCGTGCCCATGCCTCATGTTGGTTGGATCCTGCTTTACAAAGATACAGCGCCTGTGCTGCTATTGCATCATTCTCATGCATGCAAGATTCACGAAAATGTAAAGGCCAATATTGGGCTCCGTACCTGAAAAAAGGGTCTCCGTGAAACCTCTCATTGGCTAAACTTAGATACCAAATGCATTTTTCGGCAAGGACTTTGTTCGACTCCTCTGGCTGGAGACAATGCTTCCATGAGTTAGAAAGACAAGACTCACCACTAAGCGGCGCCAATAATTCGTCACGGACCAAGAACTCCTTCGCGGTCTGATGAAGTAGGTAGATCTTCTCATCAATGATGACTAGGAGGAGTCCACATAGATCCCTAACAGTTCTCCGAAACCCATGCTCCGACTCTAGCTCTTCTTCAAGGTCCGTGTAGGATCGGTGCTCTGGACTAATGGCCATGGCCAGAGATACCTGCTTTGGGGATAGCGGTTCCTTTGCAGCAGTAACAATACGTAGAAGGGTCTTTGCTTTATCGATATCAGGACTGTGGCTCAGGATCTTCTCGTACGCGTCATCAACGGTCCGAGGTAGTGACTGTATAGCTCGACGGACGTTCCCTTTGGTGAAACCGGTCGTGTTCTCGATGACATCTATTACGAGGCTCACCCAAAGATAGGTACGGTTGGGAATGCTTGTGAGCTGTTCCTGTAGAAATTCACACTCTTGAATTTCCAAAGACTTCTGCTTGCCAATCTGGCTAATCCGCTCTTTGATAACGAGGTCTATCTCTTTCATGATTTTCTCGATTTCAACCTCGTTCTCACCACTGAGATGAATTTTGGGTAGCTGAGCTTCGAGTTCCCAGAACCCACGGCGGATGTGTTCGTAAGGTCTGCTCGTTATAAGAAATTTCAAGTTAGACACTCTGGGCTCTGGGATAAAGAGATGTTTCACTGCACGGGTGAATTGGATTCGGTCAGCCTCTCGACACTCATCTAAGGCGTCAAATACGCATACCACCTCCCCAGAGCTTGGAGTATTGGCTACGCTCGTCAGAATTTCCCAGAGATCGCAAAACGAATCCGTAAGCTGGGCCCCATCTGCCTCAACCTTGTCCAATATCAAGTCATGCAATATGTGAGGCTGTGCAAGAAAAAGCTGCCGTAGAATTGTACGGAGAGCACTTGTTGAGCTCCTCTGGTCTTCAAAGTCGTCCTTGAAGAAGAAGTAACAAACCGTTCTCGTCCTTGTTGGAAGAACTGCATCAACCAAATACTTCACCAAGACTGATTTCCCGCAACCTGGATCCGCCGAAACCCATAGCAAATTTGGCCCATTATTTTGGTTCCAGCTCTGGAATTGAACGTGACTTGTGAACCATTCACATGTTCCTGGAACACGATCGTTATTTCTTTCCTTTCGGTCTTTGTAAGGACAGGTGTACAGAAGTCTTAAAAGCTTGCTGGCCTTCTCATCTCGGGCAGTTGTTGTTTGCCACAACTGGCTTTTGTCTATAGAACTCTGAAGGGTTTGAAGTTTCTCTCTCACTTCCACAGCATCAAGGAGATCAGCAAATCTCTTCTCAGAGACCTCGAGCCTGTCAATCCCCTGGACCAGCGCATCCCATCCATCGTGTTTGAACATATCACTTAAAAGTTGGGTAATAGAATGTTTTCCCAGATAACATAGGGCTCGAGCCTGGAATTCCAGTACTTTCGCATACAACTGTGTCAATGTCTCTTCAAACTCGGTCCCAAACTGGGCGGCTTGAGACGACCCACGAGGTAAGTAGATCTCTTCAACGACCCGAAGGCGGCTTATCAACGCAGAGGTCGACTCTAGTCCCTGCAAAAGCGCGGCATGCTGCTCAGCAGCTTGGACAACAAGCTGTTGCTTGATTAGCATCTTTGACTAGAATATAAGTGACATTGCCAGGGTATCAACTCACTGATAGAACAACGGTCACCCCAGCGCAAGCGATCGCAGCTGGCGGGCTCAGATTCGCTGCGTGCCCGATCGCATCCTTGGCTATCAATACATTTTGGAAAACACGAATGAGCTGATCTTTGACCGCGATTCTGTGGTCACCAAATCGGACTGACCACTTCTTCCCTTCTAGATCGCGAGTTTTGGCATCCAATAAATTGCAGAACTGCCGCCGGAGATCTGTCTTCCCAGTTGGCTGAAGTCGAGATCCGAATTCTTCCTCGAGTATATCCAAAGATGCTTGCCAGATTCTCCTTTTCTTATCATCCTCGCGTAGCAGCTGTTCTGCTCGCACCCAAAGGCTCTCTTTCTCCATGAAGTTCACCGTCACTGGCGCCGATGAAGAAGCGTCGAAGGCTTCAACACCATACTCTTGCGCTTTTCCCCAAGAAAGTCCAACTTGTGGCGAGGATATTTTGTCACTTTTCTTATCATCTTTAAGTGAAATCTGTTCTACTTTCATCCCATGTCTTCCTTTCACCTCGGAATCGTCGGCAACCGCGCTAAGGATAAGAGGATCGCTGTCTTCGGCGGCAGTGTCTAGCTCCCCTTTTTTACGGAGCTTCCTGGATCGCAATGGCCATCTCAACCGAAAGGACTTCATAAGCGTCGTGTAGGGCATTTCCAGAAGATCCTTCAAAGATACCCACAAAGTCTAGAATGAACCCTAACATGGAGATGTGCGGCGTCCAAGGTATATATTAGTTTAAGCATTGTCTGACGTGGATGTCTCAAGCTTGTCCAACACTGGACAGAAACTAGTTGTCTGGGCATTGTGACCGTAACCTAATTATCATCCAAACTTCTTGCCCACAAGTTTAGCCATGTAACCTGCATACCGATCCGCCTATGGTAGACCCAAAAGGAGGGCCTACCCCTCCTCAGTCGGGATCGAAATCAGCCACAGGACACTGATTTGCAACGGCCCTGAATGGGCGCGGGATTAATTCATTCGGATCTAGGTCGTGGTTATAGAAAGCTTCTATAAGGCTTGGTATTATCTCATACCATACTCAAACGATAGTTCGGGATATAAAGTCCTAGTCTTATAGAAAGACTGCGACGATCTCAGGCTCACCATCCCTCGCTGGTATCTGTGCGCTTTGATTGACTCAACGGATAGCAATCGCTGGGCTGGAGGTTTGTGGAACGTTGCATCACGAATCTGCACAGTAAGCCAGGCTCACGCCATTCCATGGCTTTATTGGCAGCGAATGAGTCAAGAGATTAGCTCGAATCGAAGTCTAGACTTGAGACATGGGGTCATTAAATGTTGTCTAAGGAAAAGCTGTAATTAGCGCACTGATATTCCGTGGAAAACTTGAAACTTTCCCATCTTCAGGGCTGTTTTTGACTCAGTGGTTACTCCTGGTGGACACAATATGGCAAGTGTATACCACTCTATGCGAGTAGTCTTTAGATGAAAAGAGGAAATGTACTTAGTACATCGTTACTTATTCGGTGACAAACGCCAGCTGATGGGTCATCATGTGAGTTGTTGCCTAATAGGTCCTTTGCATATCATCGCCACATTGCACAGCCTCCTCACCTTCAATCAGATCTGATTCCCATTGTCAGCCACGATTTCAACATTTGTAGCTTGCAGTGGACATTAGTTTGGAGAAGACAGAGTAGAAAGGCATGGAATAACTGGTAAATGCCCATACTTCTAGAGGCCATCAACAGCTGCACAAGCTTGATCTATCTGGCTGATATTAGCCCAAGTACTTCTCGTGATAATGTCTTGTCCATATTGCCAGTGTATGTGTTCCCTTTTTGACGAAGGTTATGTAGGAACCTCCAATTTCATCGTCGACTATTTGTGCAGGGGAATACCTGTTGGATTCTGGTTAACATCCTCAGGCGTGTTAGACTTTGGCTGTCTGTCACCCTTACCCCAGGATTAACTTGTGCATTTGACCTTATCCTCAAGAACATTTGCTCCTTTCTTATTTGGTTGGGATGGGAATCGCCCAACTGGTATGTGCTTCAGGGCTATTGGGACAAGGCATTCGAGTCACTACGTCGTCTCCGCACTTGGGATATTCTCGCAGCACGCGACCTGCACCTCATTGACAGCTGGATTCAGGAGAAAGAGACACTTTTCGAGCACAGTACTTTCTCGAAATGATCCTGACGACTAAAGATTCAACGATATATACGTCGAGCAACAGTGACATTGGTCTCGGTTATGGTGGCGGGCAGCCTGGCCGGAACAGGGCTCACGGCGACTGCCCAGTCGATGTGATGAACAATTATGCAAAAGACGTTTCGTATATTATATATCTTGTCGCACCTGTGAATCTTACTGTGGGAGCACCATTTTCAAGCATTCGACGACGTCTGTCCTTAGCGAGTCTGTTCGTCACGTTCTGGATCTCCTTTGCACTTTGGTACTTTCCCTTCTTGGGCGCCGACATTCCGGCCTTTGTGCTCCTTTGCGTTTCCACTATAATATCCACTGTTTGACTGGGACTTGTTCCGTCCCATATGCTGCAGAGATATTTCCGCCTTCCCATCGAGGTAAAGTTTGTAAGGATCGAGTTCTTCCATGCATGGTGCTGACAATGCAATTTGCATCTACCAGGTTTTCCCAGATCTCGGTAACAGCCACCGTTCCCAACATCGGCAGCTGGTACACTCTGATGCATAGTGGACGTGGGCGTGTGCTTCATGCTTTTTGGGCAATCTCAACCTCAACTAATCCGCATAGTGTCTTCAATTCACTCTCCTTGCTAGCCGTCTATCTATTTATGAGGAAATCAAAACAATACACTCTAAAAGAGATGCAGTCGGCATTCAAGATGTCCACTGGAGACTTCATCGTATATCGACTCCGTACCGACTTTCTCAATCCACTCCAACGTTATGTTCTACGCAGAGGGGTGCGAGTGCAGCCGCTCGACGCTCAGGGTATTTCCTCCCATGGTGTCCCTTATACAGATGAAGGGGCCATTTCACTTGCGTCCTGACTAAGTTTTGATCAGTCATACTATGTGTATCACTAGCATTTTGGGTCGTCTTAGAATATCTCAAATGTAATGGACCAAATGTATATAACCAGGTAAGACTATAAAGACTCGTCATATCAACCTACAACTACTATCGGCTAGTCCATTTTCCGAAAATCCAACTCAATTTCGGTGTTGGCACTTTCTGCAACAGTTCCCTTTTTAACATCTTTCTCGAGTTCCTGGTAGCGATTGGCGTAATCTGATGCTTGCTCAACCAGAAAACTGGCCACCTCTCGTCCTCTACCCTGAGACGCGTTGTGCAATGGTGTTTTTGAACTATGATCCTCTTTGAGCAGATCCGCACCTGCCTTAACTACCAGCTGTATAAAGTCCAGGCTGGCTCTGCTAGACCGAACGGCATAATGTAATGCCGTCCGTCCTTCTTCATCGCCGGAATTCGGATCACATCATGTCAGTAGATGGCAAACTACAGCGCGGTCATTCCAGATCGACCGATCATACCTGCCGAGGCGCCATCGTTTAGTAATAGATTGATAATCACAACGTTGCACCCTTCTGTGACTGCGATGTGCCTTTGTTATCAAACGCACACTTATTGCCTTGGCGAAGGAGCGGCTGCCGTGCTTTGTTGGGGAACGGCACACTCAACTAACCACTGACTGGCTATACTAGACATTCCTGCAGATTGAAGACATCTCAATATAGTGTTGCCGTGTAGCAGACGAGTAAAAAGCGTTGTGCCGAGCCGTCGCGAAGGATGACCGCCCCCAGCGCAAAGTGATATTTATGGCCCCCACGCTCCAGCAAAGAGCCAGTCAGGCTAATTATGATCGTCAAAAAAGACCTGGTATAAGCGAGGCGTCCATAATTTGCAGTTAACAAGTTCCTAAAAGACATGATATGTTTCCTCATCAACTCAATCAGCATTCAATACCGGAGTACATTATTCCCCGACTTCCGCATTTGACCCTCGTCAGGAAGTATTAGACATTGGGTGTCCATTTTTCCTTGTCTGTAATGTGTTGAACGCAGCCAATGCTCGCTATATGCCCAGTATTCTTGGGTTATTGAAGAACATTGATATTGTCTGGAGTATTGTTTGAATAACAGAGTCTACTCTGGAGTAAGTCTGCTTTTCTCCGAAAGTCCTAGAGTTCTATACTAAATAGGAAATTTCAACCGATGGGTGCCTAGATTTCAATATTACCTAAAGAGTATTAGCGCAAACTTCATCACAAGTGAAGGCCTCAGGCTGCCCTTCACTAATTGAACAACGGCCTCCATATTCAATATAATAATCGCGATAATCACTATAATGACTATAGCTAAGCAAGCCACGGTTCTTATTCAGAGACAATAAGTATTTAAGTTCATCGACCCGACCTTAATAAGTATTAATATAAATTTATCCCCACATGCCGATGTCAAGTTCTATAGCTGGCGGTGAATCATATTAATATTAATTAATATAACACGTTAATTAATACTTGAATTGATATTCGAACCAATTAATGGTCTTGGCCGTAGCCAAGCCTTTCTTGCATTCGTATGCTTTAGTCTAAAGCTTGTCATTTTTTTATAACATGGATTTGTTGGTCTATACTTGACTTTTGCCTGGGGATCCATGGAACAATATCCTGTGAAGTTTCTAGTCTGGGTATTACTTCAATCGAGCATACATTAACAAAGGAAATTCTTATAATATTACATGAAACACGTTTAATACCATAACTCCACCTTTAGCCAAAACCAATCCAAACCCAGTGAAATCAAAGAGCCCGCCCCCTATTCGAATCCCATGTATTAGGCGATGGAAGGGCCACATCCGGATTATGACCAGTACGACGCGGCTCACTCTCGATAATCATCTCTTGGGTGACTGTGATATCATTCGTTTTGCCCGATCCCTTGCCTGAACCCTCCACTAGGATGTGCTCGTCGCTGCCCCATGCTGTCGTGTTATTCGGAATTGAAAGCGGGTGTCGCGAGCGTTTAGATGGTTGATTTCGGCTCCCTAGTGGGAAGGACTGTGTGCGGTGACGGCCGTAGCTGGAAGGTCCACCGCTGGAACTGAAAAGGCCGCTGAGACCGACTTTCTGGGCGCCGCGGCGGATAAGGGGTTGGATGATTGGGAGGTTAGCGACAACGATGGAGACGAATGTTTCGCGACAGGCCCATTTGCTACCCGAGACTGCGCCGTCAGGTCCGGACTAAGGTGGGCTTGTTAGGTATGGAAACAATCGAAGTCTATGGAAAGGGTAGGGCGTACTGTCATAATGGTTACGGCACGGATGATAGCGGCCATGATCACGAAGGAGGCGCCACTGAACAAAGCCATTAGGGTAATCTTTCTCCTAATCCCAATGTTGACTTTCCATAACAACTGACGTATTGTGAGCTTTTGGTGGCTTTTGGTGGGGTAATGGGAGACGAACTGGCAGCGGAATAGACATCAGGTACAGGTCGGTCAATACATTTGGAATGACCACAATGAGAACGTAGAGCGTTGACCTGGTGGGTTGGCAAATATCTAAGCTGTTAACATGGTAGAAGTAGACCAAAGGGACTTTAATGGCTTACTTCCTGGATCTGGGTTAATCTGCCAGTACTTATGCATCGGTTGGCATCCAAGCAAGATAGACAATGCTACAGCAAGATAGGTCACTCCGATGAGGACGTATGCGAACCGCACTCGACCTGGTAGGTTTTGGAGCCCAGTGCTGTACTTGTCAGTATTACAACCATACAGGATTTAACAGGCAATATAATAGTGGAGGAAAAGCGTACGTCAACCGGGAATAGAACACGGCCACACAGGCCTTCACCAACCACAGGATGCATGCATAGAATGACCACCCGATCACCTGGATTTTCGAGCCCCATTGCCTATCATAATACTCGCGCGAGTTTGGGTCAAGTGCGGCACGTTCTTCAGGAGTCATATAACTATTCGTGAGTCCACCGAACAAGGCCCCAACCAGGTACGCCGCTACTGTTTCGGCAGTGTACGCTAGCTATATATTAGAGTGTAAGTACTCCTCTTCTAGGCAAAACTTGCAGTCGGTTTCATTCACACTCACCCCGGCCAAGGGCATCAAGTAATCATCCGCCTGGAAGTTGGCAGGGCCGACCGACGTCCATCTCACGTAGATTCGGATAATAATGAAGACGAGACCCAGAGAGAGGAGGGTGAACGCCTCCGCGTCTGCTGCAGCCATGATGTCAACCTAAGAAGCCGAAGAGCGCACAGCGTAGGGAAGAAGAGCAAATGGGTCACTCCAGAGACCCGGAATTGCCAAGTATAAGAACCACATGCGCTAGGTCCCGCTTCCAAGGGACAGGGAAAGGGCGCCATTTTGGGAACGGGGGCAACGTGCTTTGATGCTAGGACAAGAAAAGGAAAAATCTCAAAGCACTGTTCTGCAGGATTCTTCACACGGTTCCGGGAACATTGGATCCACCAGCGGCATGAGGAATTTACCCTGGAAATTATGATGCCAAGATCTGTACGGAGCTAATGTGTTGCTCATCAGCGTTAAAACCGGACCGCTTCACCGGGACATACTGTCCTCCCGTCGTCCGTGAATGAGAGGACATCGTACCTATCTCCTAATAAGGCAATGATCCGAAGGGTAGAATCAACAAACACTACTCTAGCATGAACTGAAGCAGCCCGTTTCAGGTAGTGTGGCCAGAAGGCTCCATCTTTGGAGGGCAGCGTGGTCTATAATTCGGTACCTTCAAAGATCCACCCCCTGAGAGAGCTGTGGACACGGCTAAAACTAGTGTGCCATCCATATCCGTCCTGATGCAGCATTAGGGTCTCGGCTGTCGTACGTGGATTTGGAGCTTAAACCATAAAGTGGGAACTCGCAATACCCCAAATACTATGATTAGACATTAGCGGGAGATTAGGCTCGTTCCAGGACCCGCTAACCCTGTGAGTTAGGGCTAATCGCAACCCTCCATTGGACGTTGCTCCAAACGCCGGTACTGTTGATCCCTGCAAAAGACACCACCAGTCGACAAGCGCCGAATGCTTCATGCATGCTAATAGTGAATACCCATTAATTTCCTTTGTTCCGTATGGAGTCGACGCCAGCGGAGCGGTCAGTAACGTTTCTGCCCGTGCTTTTGCCCCTCTGCCGGAGGAGATTCACACCAAGACGCACTAGTAGTCCAACCCCTTATGAAGACCTCGTATCCCCCCTCTCTGTCTCCCCCGATCGCCTTTCCGAGATCAATTCCAGAACCAAGAAGACGAAATGGATTCCGCTGCCGACTTTATTGTTATTGGAGGTGAGACCGCCCAGGCGGGGTCTCCACAGTCCGCTAATGAAACTTAAATAATAGGTGGTCCAGCCGGCAGCACGGTGGCAAGCCAGCTGGCCAACTCTCCAAAGCATCCCAAAGTGCTTCTTCTGGAAGCCGGAGGCCTCAATGCCGAACACGACCTGCGGGTGGACGGCCAGCGGTGGCTGACCTTCCAGAATAAACACATGAACTGGGGCTTCAAGACCACGCCACAAGATGACTGTAACAACCGCGAGATCGACTACTCCCGCGGACGGGGCATGGGAGGCTCCAGCGCCATCAACTTCGGTGTATACACGGTAGGCGCCCGCGATGATTACGAAGAGTGGGCACGAGTTGTTGGTGATGATGCCTTCCGCTGGGAGCAAATCCAGTCCAGGTTCAAAGCCCTCGAGACCTTCCACGGCGATCTCCCTGCTGGTATTGATGCGAAGTACGCAGCTCCCCGAGCGGAAGATCACGGAAACTCTGGTCCGCTTCACGTAGGGTTTGCCTCGGAATGGGAGAAAGATCTCCCGCCGCTTTTGGATGTCATCGAACAAGCAGGGTTCCCCTTCAATCCGGACCACAACTCGGGCAATCCCATTGGGATGTCTGTTTTGATTAACTCTGCCTACAATGGCGTTCGGTCAACAGCTGCGGATCTTTTGAAGCCACAGTCGGAGAATTTGAGTATTGTCACCGATGCTCCTGTACAGCGCCTCGTATTCGACGGCAACAAGGTTGTGGGTGTGGAATCCAATGGGAAGCAGTGTGAGTTTAACTCCAGTTTACCCGCTTTGATTTGAAAATGATATCCAAAAATGGAGACTATGAAATATAGTTTACAACCAAACAATATCTGACTAACATTTGCGAAGACCTCGCCTCAAAGGAGGTTATCATGTGCGCTGGGTCTCTGGAAGGTCCGCGTATCCTCATGCACTCGGGCATTGGCCCGGCACAGCAGCTAGAGAAGTTCAATATCCCCGTCAAACTCGATGTTCCCGCCATTGGTCAAAATCTCCGAGACCACACTTTCGTCCCGATCGTGAACACTCGCGTGGAGAATAGCACCCAGCGCCGCGAGTTCTACGGCGACGAGAAAGCCATGGCCGAGGCCCTTGAGCAATGGAAGATAGACGGAAGTGGCCCATGGTCACGGTTCGCCTGCGAACTGGGTATCGGCTGGTTCAAGCTCGACAAGCTCACGTCCTCCGAGGAATTCCAGAAGCTGCCCGAGGAAGAGCAGAAGTATCTTCTGCAAGAGACTGTGCCGCACTATGAAATCCTGACCCATTTCCCTATCCACTGGTTCATCCCGGATTTCGCCAAGGAGGCCCTGAACTACTCCTGTCTGCTCGTGTTCATGTTCAATGCACAGGCTCGTGGTGAAGTCACTCTACAGTCCTCGGACCCCAATGTGCCCTTGCTCTTCGATCCGAAGTTCTTGTCTCACCCATTCGATCGTCGTGTTGCGATTGAGTCTCTGCGGGATGCGTTCCGCATTGCTAAGAACGATGGCTATACCAAGGATAACGTCATGGAATTGGCTGGTCCCAAGTCCGACTCTGACGAAGATCTCTTGGAGTACTGGAAACAGAACATTTCATCCAGCTGGCACATGACTGGCACTATCAAGATGGGTAAGAAGGGCGATGCCGATGCCGCAGTGGACAACGATTTCCGCCTCATAGGCATTGATGGGTTGCGCGTAGCGGATATGAGCGTGGTCCCCGTGTTGGCCAACTGTCATGTTCAGGCCGTGGCATATGTGACGGGAGCCACATGCGCGGAGAAGTTGATCAAGGAATATGATCTAGCCTAGACACCTTTTTGCATTAGCGTACATGAAATTTTAACGAAATATTCAACCTGTTGAATTTGGCCATAACACAAGTTTCGTTATTCGCTCTTGGGAGATTGACCCGGGAAGGCAAGAGACTCTTGTTGCCGGGGACCCTGGCGCTAGACCAGTCTAATTGCAGCCCCCATCGGAACCCCTCCGACAAATAACCTAACTTGTTGACAGCTCCCATACTCTCCACAAACCCACTGGGTCAGTGGGGTCACGGGACTTTATACCCGCTGATATAAGCGATGAATCTCCTTTTCGGCCCAGCTCCCGGGATACGCGAAATGAGCACCTTAACTGTTTGGGGTAAGCCGCGAGGATATCATCGATGATCTGACATGATAGACTTTCCCGCTCTCTGGAACCACAACCGATGCATTAGTTGAGAATTCATTTTTTCTGTGTAGATCCCCCTTATTCTCCTGCCAAGAGTACCAGGTTTTCATTCTTCATTGATCATGGAGAATCAACAATTCCTCTTCCAATTCCTCTTCCAACCAGTGTAACACTACTTAGTACTCAATACCCATCCAACAGATCGCAATGATGTATCGGCCACTCTTGTTCTGTGTCGTTTTCCTCTCAAGCATTTTTTCCCTTATCCACGCCCACTCGGCAGTTCCGGGAGCTAGTCTCAACAATTGTCAGAATCTGGAAAGGCTCAATCGCACCCTCCACCACGTCTCCCCGATCCTTGAAAGACTCTCTCATATTAGTGCAGAAAATGGCAAGGAAGCGGCGCCCGCCCTAAACGGAACTATCGGCGCCACCCATAAAAGAGGGCTTAGCGATAAACTCCAACAAATCCAATCCGCAGAGGCGTTGGTCAAGCAATCCAAGGACAAAGTCTTGGGCAAGATGACGACCTGCCAAGAGCCCAACTTGGGCGCAAACAATGTATTGCAAAGTACTAGGCGGGATGACGAAGAAAAGTGTACACTTGACGAAGTATTGGAAGAACTATTGGACGAGGTAACGGATGCGCTGGAGTGTCTGTTGTCGGTTACATTTCCGTTGTTGGGAGGTGTAGTGGATTTGGTGTCCAATTTGCTAGGTGGAATTGTGAACTTGGTTGGCGAATTGCTTGACCTTGATTAACTAATTGGGGAACGGCCATAGGGACACGGTCCAGGCTACATTGGTGGGCAGCCGGACGGGACGGGTATCCATGTATATTATATATTTCCAGTTGCGGGGCGGACACGACGTTATATGCATAATTCAGTGTGTCAAGAATTATACACTGTAACATATTCTATGGGCCAGTTGATTGCGACAGCGCATAATAATCGAAAATGAGATTTGCATTGTGGTGTGACTGAAACGCTCATAATGGAGCTTCCAGTGTCAAGACACTGTCCAGGATAGTATCAGGAGTAGCATAGGATAGAACCTGAGCTACCGTTTTTAGGTCGCTTCCATACTGCAAACTGCGGTCATCTTCCGGTTTAGCCACAATAATTCGATGGCGGAACACCTTCTTCGCAGCTAAGGCTACTATTGATGGCGTGAGATAATCAATTCCATGCAGTGCAGCGAGCAACCTATCTGGGTTAGTTCAAGTCATACTTCTAAAGCCTTGCGGACACACTTCGAAATTTTCCTAAAATAGACGTTTGATCGTGCGGATATTCCTCCAGCAACTGCGCGACTGAGACGGAGAAACACAGTGATATCTTGATGATACCTGACTACATCCGCGCCCATAGTTACACAGTCACTGGCTTTCTGTAGTTTGTCCAAGGCCTGTATTTCGATAAGTATTGAACGAATTCCCAGCAAGCTAACCTCACCTTTCGGTCTATACTCAGGTGTCCCTTGTGCAGTGGTACCTCTGATTTGCGCACAACGGACGATGCTGACATCTGGCCGTCAGAAAGCCAGTCGTTGTTCTCTTCTAGGTAAATAAAGCCGTCCCTTGAACCGTGAAAATAGGAGATAATGAGGCGGTCATTCTTGACAGGTCAGCATCATCCAATCATGGAGTTATGGTAGCAAGCTACCTACTAAATGAAAGTTTAAAGCTGGTTGATCATGTTCTGTCTTGCGCATAACAAGCGGTATGAAGAGAAATTCCTCGGGGGCCTCAAGGAAGCCATTATACGTATTGAGTTTCTTAGAGCTCATCAGCTGTTATGGGCGTTAGCAAGAGAAAACCTTCCAGCAAGATCCTATAGTCACCTCAAGAGCTTGGAGCTGTATTTTGTCAGCAGCGCGGTCGAAGTTCTTGGCTACGACGACGTTTGCCGTCCTGTTCTCCGCATTGTTCGGACCATTCGAGTTTCGAGCATTAGCAAGAATGAGTTCTGAGCAGAATTCATCCAGTGTTGTAGTCTCCGAGCAGTCAACGGTAGTACAAGTAAGGCCAAAGGTGTGTACACATATCTGGCGGAACATTAGTGGGTGAACTATGAAGCACCTTATATACTAGGAAGCAAGTTACCAGGGCGAGCTCTGTGGCAACGTCATTAATGCTGTCTGCCGTAGCATCGATACGGCAATGCTCGCGAGCCGCAAGACAGAGATAGAGCGCTACTTCAAGGTCTGATAGTTCTAGTACCAGACTGGATATTTCTGCTAGGTCGTCCATAATCCTTTCTCGGTTGCTTCATGATGTTCAGTATCAGTAAATGTTGAGCGTTGATAAGTGGCCGACGAACAGCCAAGACGCTACGCCTAACTTGGTTTAGCGCCGGTCCGACCCCATGTGAGCTGGGAGCTTCCCGATGAACGACCACCAACAAGCTCAATCGCAGCTTTGATCTCATTCTTCGGTTGGCGTGGTCTCTGTTCATGGGAATATCTGCCAGTATCAATGGCGCCATCAAATACACTGGCAAACTGGGAGAGGCTGGGCGATAGTTTCTACAGGAAAGTCCCGATATACGACGCTATCTTCGATGAAGATGTCGAACTAGAGAACTACATCGTTGCAGGCGCTCCATACGGAGGGGCTCTAGGTACGAGTATCTATAGTTATACATATTTGGGTCGACGCTTACAAATCACAGCGTTGCATCGCGATGATACCAAGCCGTACAGGTTCCGTGATGCTCAGACCGCCAGGTCGAGCATTGGTATCTACTCGTCCTCAGGAAAGCTGATTAATCGACTTAATGTTAGTTAATGATTCAACTCAACAGTACTTCTAACTCTAACGGTTCCAGTGGGAGCATGGTACTATTCGAGGGCTCGGCTGGTCCGACAAAGAAGAGTTGTTAGTGATCACGGAAGATGGCACCGTGCGACGCTATTTCGGACTATATGGAGATTTCACTTCATTTTCTCTTGGAAACGTAGGCTTTTGATACCTATATCTACTATATTTCGGTGCTAATATGCGTAGGGAGCGGAAGAATATGGAGTCAGAGCCTGTCGCTTTTGGACTTCCGGCTTCGTTGCTCTCCTCTCAAATAACCAGCTGGTCGCGGTGTCTAACTATGACGAGCCTCGACCGAAGCTCCTAGCCCATTGTCCTGAAGGAGAGGTTTCATCGTGGTCACTAATTCCACCTGCTTTTACATTGTCGCGCTCGGTCGAGGTACTTCTAGCAGTTGACAAAACTGTATACCTTGTTGATCCCACGGAAGCAGAGGACAAAGTGCTTCAAAACGGTCCTTTCAAGCATGCCAGCGTGTCGCCAACCGGAAGATTTGTGGCTCTCATTACGGCGGAAGGCAAGGTATGGGTAGTCAGTAGTGACTTCCAGAGCAAGTACAGCGAATATGACCCCGAATCTCGCGTAACTCCCCGGACGGTTGACTGGTGTGGCGATGATGCTGTTGTCATTGCGTGGGAGGATGAAGTGCACTTGATTGGCCCCAACGGCGTTGCCGCTCGGTGAGTTCTCCATCGTATCCGGAAGCTTGCGATCTCCTAACCAAGTAAGCTACTACTATGACGGCACTGTCCACGTCGTCCCCGAGTTTGATGGCGTGCGATTGATCACGCATGACACATGCGAATTTCTGCATAAAGTTACTGGTATGTTTGCTTGCAAGATCTGTTTTCTCGCCAATTAACGACCAGTCTAGAGGTAACGGAGGCGATCTTCCGCCTCGGGTCTACCTCCCCTGCCTCAGTCCTGCTGGACTCAGTCGACTTGCTGGAAAAGAAATCTCCCAAGGCCGACGAGAACATTCAGCGAATCCGTTCAAGTTTGCCAGAGGCCGTTGACACTTGCGTTAGGGCCGCGGGTCATGAGTTCGACGCATATTGGCAGAAGAGATTGTTAAAAGCTGCGTCATTCGGAAAGTCTGTTCTGGATTTATACAACAGTGACGATTTCGTAGAAATGACCGAGAAACTACGAGTCCTTAAAGCAGTCAGGGACTACCAGATTGGGCTCCCAATCTCATATGATCAATACATGCGGTTGACTCCGGAAAAACTTATCGAACGTTTGGTGAATAGACATGAATATCTACTTGCCATCAAGATCTCGGAATACCTGCAGATACCCGCCGACAGGATTTACGTTCATTGGGCTAGCCAAAAAGTCAAGGTCTCAACCGTTGACGATGAAGCTGTCTGTAAGCTTATCGTGCAAAGATTGGATGGCAAGCCGGGGATATCGTTCGAACTGATCGCACAAGCCGCTTACGATGAAGGGCGTGCGCAACTGGCGACCCAGCTGCTGAACCACGAGCCGCGGGCCGGCAAGCAGGTTCCACTACTTCTGAATATGGAGGAGGATGAAATCGCTCTTGATAAAGCCATCGAAAGCGGGGACAATGACCTAGTAAGCTATGTGCTTCTACGTCTCAAAAGCAAACTCCCCCTGGCCAGCTTCTTCAGAATGATTAACAGCCGACCTATGGCTTCTGCCCTTGTGGAAACGACCGCTCGAGGTGACGATACCGAACTACTAAAAGATCTCTACTACCAAGACGACCGTCCGATCGATGGCTCTAATGTGCTCCTCTCAGAAGCATTGGCTCAGACAGAATTGCCGCACAAAACGGAGAAGCTGCAGCTTGCCTCTCGGTTATTAGTTGACTCTAAAGACGCGACAGTAGTCTTGCAGCAAAAACTTCTTTCCGAAGCATCACAGTTGTTGAAGGTTCAGGAAGCCTTGGACAAGGACATTGCAGATCGGTCGGAGTTTGTGGGTCTAAGCTTAAACGAGACTATTTACAGACTGATCCGATCGGGCTACGGCAAGAGAGCACAGAAGCTTCAGAGTGAATTTAAGATGCCGGACAAGACATATTGGTGGCTTAGACTAAGGGCTCTAGTTGCCAAACGAGACTGGGGTGAGTTGGAAGAGATCGGCAGAAACAAAAAATCGCCGATCGGATGGGAGGTGAGCCAATTCTTAACTGGCTTCAGTTGTATGCATGCACGTGCTGACACAAATGGACAGCCTTTCTATGACGAGATACTAGGTGCTGGAAACACGAAACTCGCTTCGTTTTTCGTCCCCAAATGCACCAATTTACCAGTCGAAGACAAGGTGGAAATGTGGGTGAAATGTGGAATGATCGTGAAAGCCGGGGAGGAAGCCTTCAGGGCCAAAGACTTCAATACCCTGGAGCTCCTCCGGACAAGAGCTTCGGGGCCAGCTGTCGCTGACATTGATCGAATGATCAACCAGCTTAGGCCAAGGAAATAGTTGCCGTGACCAGCCTGGTATCTCCTTTGCACTGTCGCTGTGACATCTCAGCTGATATCATCGTCCACGTCAATGTCTGCGTGTTGGTCGACCGCCGGGTTTTGAGCCACGTATGTGGGTTGCGGCTGCGGCTTTGTTTTCTTAGGGGCCGCGGAAACATCAGCCATAGCGTCATCGTCATCATTATCGGCCTCGTCGTTGAGGTTCTGAAACATGGTCGCCCCCGACTTGCGATTCAGGTCTTCCCACTCAGCCTGGCAGCCCGCATTGTCAGTCAAGGAAATGCCCTTGGGTAAATCATTTTGCTCGTACCCTACGTGCTTTCACAGTCTTCCCCCGCTTGAGACTCTTCTCCACTTTCGTCTCTAGTTGATCCATGATATTCTCTGCTCTTTCGATACCCTTCTGCTGCCTAGCACGCTGCGCCTTTGACAGGGCTTTCGTTTTCGATTTCCTCTTGGACACACCGGCATTTGCGCGATCGGAAAGGATGGATTCACGCTGTATCACGGTATCTTCGGCACGGGGAAGGGTGGTTAAAGACTTGTCGACGTCGAGACTCGGCGATGCTGCCCGGCGGGCCGCACGAGAGTGCTTTGACTGGACTATAGACAGCCATTAATTTAGTAGCCTCATTCCCTCCTGCATAATCTCCACGTACCTCTTGCTTTAGCCATTGTGATGAGGACCGGAAAGTTTGTGTTTTTATCACAGCCGTAGAATATTTTCAGTGGAGACGATAAGTCGCTTATCGATAACAAGTCCGGGCAACCACAGGAACCAGAAGTGAAACCGGTAGCGCTTATTAAACTCCGACGGGCAAACAGTTCAAATATCACCAATCTATACATAAGATATACAGACTCATATTCTTTCTTTTACCCGTCCATGAGTATTCGAAAGTTGTCTCTATGCCGTGACCTCCCGGATTTCCCACTCAACCATGCACTCTCATAGAGGGGCGAACAGTGTCCTCACTCAAAGTCCCTTCAACCACGCAAAGAATAGCCACTATGACACGGTATTTCAGTATCTACAAGATCACCCAAGCATAGCCTCCACCCTAGCGATCGCGATACTCGTCTTTGTCGCCTTGACTCAGTCTGGATCGATTCCGGCCACGGTAGCTCGAGCGTTGTGGGACGTCATCGTCTACATGACGCCGTCCAGAGTAGTCGCCGCCCTAGACACAAAAGCAACTTCAACCCCGATCGACGAAAGTGCCGGTCCGATGACTTTCGAAGCTAAGAGCGAAGCGATGAAGCGGATCCTCAGACTCGATAACTCATCACTTTCCTCCCTTATCCCTCGAGCTCCAACACTGCCAGGCTTCGGTACTACACTTCTCGGCAACAAGGACAGTCTACCTCCAGGTCTGGGCAACTGGGACAACTCGTGCTACCAGAACAGTATTATACAAGGATTCGCTTCGCTGGAGTCGCTAGCGACATTTTTGGGACGGAACATCGATTTATTCGGGGCGAAGGGAACGTTCTCGACACACCAGGCGCTCAAGGGAATCATAGAACGGCTGAATAGCCCCGACAGCTACGGGCAGCGGTTATGGACTCCGGCCGATTTGAAATCGATGAGCAGTTGGCAGCAACAAGACGCACAAGAATATTTTTCGAAGGTTGTCGACCAGATAGACTTCGAGATACAGCAGGCTACACGGAAGCAGACCCGGAACCTCGGATTGAAGGTGGCAAGCCCGCAGGAAAATGTTATTGGGGCTGGGTCTACGCACGAAACAAATTCGGACACCTCCGTCGGGGCTCGGATCGCCGAAATACGTTCCTTCGGAAACCCATTGGAAGGTCTGCTGGCACAGCGGGTGGGCTGCATGCAATGCGGTTGGACCGAGGGTTTATCCCTTATTCCATTCAATTGCCTAACGGTACCACTTGGAGCGGGCTTCGAACATGATGTTCGTGATTGTCTCCAGGACTATATGGATCTAGAACCTATTGAAGGGGTGGAATGTGCGAAGTGTACTTTGTTGCACGCTCAAAAACAACTCCAGAATTTACTTGAACAGATCGAGGAGGATAAGTCGCTTTCGAACACACCCGATTCACCGAGTGTATCTGCAGCGCTGAAGAATTCGGCGCAGGAACGATTGAAGGCTGTCGAGGAGGCCCTCGAGGAAGAGGATTTTACGGAGAAGACGCTCTCTAAGAAATGCAATATCCCTTCGAGGAACCGTGTTTCCTCCACGAAGTCCAGGCAAGCCGTGATTGCAAGGCCGCCGAAATGCCTTGTTGTTCACATCAATCGAAGTTTGTTTGATGAAATGACGGGAATGCTTCGAAAGAATTACGCCGCTCTGAAGTTCCCAAAGATCCTTGATATGGGCGAGTGGTGCCTGGGAGCGGCTGCCGGTAGCGAGACGTGGGAGATGGATCCGAGAGAGTCGATGCTCGCACAAGCCGCCAAGATCGCAGACGCCCATGGACAACTATATGAATTACGAGCGGTAATCACGCACTACGGCCGTCATGAGAACGGTCACTACATATGCTATAGAAAGTACTCTTCAGATACATTCCCTGCCGACGTTCCGGAGTCAGTCATTGAGCAGGACGGTGAAAAGCAGACGACCGAGCGCTGGTTCCGGTTGAGTGACGAGGATGTGCAGATGGTCAGCGAATCCAACGTTATGGCGCAGGGAGGAGCTTTCATGCTGTTTTATGAAGCCGTGGATCCATCTTCTCTCCCCGCTGGAACTGGTGAGCCGGATTTTGCAGAGGCGGAGAACTCAGTATCTACCTCGAGTGCTGCCACGGAGGACATGTCGACAACATCTGCGAGCACTGACGACTCCCAAACATCTCAAACCACAAGCGTATCCACGCCTGAGAAGGCAGAGCTTCCAGTCGAGAATGCACGGCCTGTTGCGGACGTCGATTGAGTATATCCCTTACGTATTGTTATATTTAGCATGGTCCGCTCGATTGACGGGCTCTAGCAACTGTGTACATCACTATTATGATACCCCAAGTCCCGCTAAGGCGTTAGTTGTTTTGTGATTTGTATTTCTATGTGGATATGATCTGGACAGGTATAGACCGGGCGCACTCTGCATCAGCAAGACACACATTTTTTAGGTCAACAAGAATGTTATCTCGTTCGTACATTGCTAGTTAGCATCAGTAGCCCACATCCATCCAGGCTTCTGGCATCCCGAATATGTCCACCACAGCCCCTTCCCGAGGTACCCAAAGACCTCCATTCTGAAGTAGATACCTCAAAACCAATATTATATTCCTCCATGATGTATGTACACGATCCATGGGAAGTATACCAGCAAAACAAGCCTAAAGACACCAACCCAAAGCCAACGCCACCCCAGTCCCAAATCTAATAACTAAAAAACGCCAGCCCGAGTCATAACCTCATGAAACTGTTCCAAGCTCACCCCAGCGTCAATGCCCGCGCCCCCATTCGCCTCCAAAATCATATCCCGTAGCAAATCATCCCCCAGCCCATCCTCCTTCAACTCACGCGCAATCCGTCTCAAATGCCCCAACGTAATCGGCCCATCCGTATTCCTTGTAAACAGCTGATAAGCGGCATCCACCTCGGCAACCATGGCATCGTCATCGCGCGACCGTAACTTCGCCGCCGCAACCGACACAAACGGCTCATAGAGCACATACCCAGTCGTCGTGGGGTCCACCGCAGCCAGAATATCATGAAGCTCTCGCGAGTCTGCCGGCGCGAGTCCTAGCGCTCTTGATTATCCCTCAGTCAATACAATACAATCCAACACATGCTTCAACCGGCGCGGGAGTGGAGGGCCGGGGGGGGAACATACACAAGCGCCTTCCGGACGTCTTCCCGGGCGATTACCCCCTCTTTCTCATTGGGGAAGTCTGCGGCGCTGGTCGCGAACAGCTGGAAGACTTCTTTGATCTCGTTTTCTTCGGTCGCGCTGATGTCGTTCGCTTTGGCGAGCTTCGATTGTCGCGCTTTCCTGGGCGCGGAGGGTGCGCTGCGCTTTTTGGGAGGCTGGATGCGGTGCGATTCTGGTTAGTGGATGCGTACGCAAATGAGGGTTGTTGTGCGATTGACAGGGACTCACCATCTCCCCTTGTTGGCGTTGGGTGTGTCAGTGGGGAGTTGTGGTTGTTGGTGGCGGAATGGTTTAATGCGCAGGTGAAGGTGGAGACGGCGTTGGTTATCTATACCGAGGATGCGCTGAGCTTATTTTCTATGAATTACATGGGGTATACTGGCTTCTCTACATAGTGGTTATGGGAATGCATGCTACAGCAACTTGGATACTAATGGAGACATAAAATAAGACTCTCTCTATAGCAATAGTAAAGACAATGCAGTCATGGTCCTGCATCGAAGATCACCGAACAATCGACGCATTCCCGTGACTGCCTGGCCTGCTGACGTAACCCCAAATAATGCCTACATTTCCCAATCGAGCCAACGGCCTGACTTGATATACCCTACTTTGTCCCCAGACATCTTCCTGACTTTCTCCATCACCTACTGTACTACACGCCATAGATAGAACACAGTCAGTAGAAGAACGTCTTTACCGCACCCATACCATGGACGTAGAGCTGTACGTCTACGACCTCTCCAAGGTAGTCCCATCCAGTATAAAACCACAAGCTCATTGGCTAACATGCAACAGGGTCTCGCCCGCCAGGTACGTCGAACTCGTGCCATCACTGAGGCCAAGGACAAACATCTAACATAGTCCAGTGGTCCCTTCCCCTAACGGGAACGCACATCGATGCCATCTACCACACCGCCATCGTGCTCAACGGCGTGGAATACTACTTCGGCCATGGCATCCAAACCGCCTCTCCGGGGAGCACACACCACGGCCAGCCCATGGAAAAGGTCCATCTGGGGCGGACAGAGCTGCCACCGGACGTGATATCCGAGTACATCGACTCACTAGGCGACATCTACACCCCAGAGGCAAGTCCCTCAGCCCATCTTAAATACCCACCACAACTAACAACCACCCAGTCCTACGACCTCTTCCTCCACAACTGCAACAACTTCACCCAAGACCTGGCCATGTTCCTCCTGGGCCAGAGCATCCCCGACCACATCCGCAACCTGCCCCAGACCTTCCTCAGCACGCCGCTCGGCCAGATGCTGAAGCCCCAAATCGAAGCCGCCCTGCGTCCCGTCACCCAGGCGCCCACCAGCACACCAACCCCAACCCAAACCCCCAGTAAAGTCCACCAGGTCACCAGCCTCGCGCAACTCGACCACGAGCTCGACCTAGCCCGCCACACCGCCGCCCTCGTCTTCTTCACCTCAGCGACCTGTCCGCCCTGCAAAGCCCTCTACCCACTCTACGACACGCTCGCCGAAGAAGCCGGCCCCAAGGCCCGGCTCATCAAAGTGGACATCAGCGGCGCCTACGACGTAGCCATGAAACACGGCATCACAGCCACGCCAACCTTCAAAACCTACCTCAAGGGCCAGGAAACCGAGACCTGGAGCGGGGCCAACGCATCCCAACTCCAGGGCAACCTGCGACTGCTGCTCGCAATGGCCCACCCAGCCCACCCGCACCGCAACCTCTCCCTCCCGACCTTCCAACAGCCCGCCACATACATCCAATACAAGTCCCTGCCCCCACTCCCCAAACTCATCCAGAAACTGCCCCAGGACACCCACGCCAACAAGACCCTCACCTCGATGACAACCTTCATCACGCAGTCCCTCCACGATCCCGACAGTAAAAGAGAAACCCCCCTGCCATCAGACACCCCCTCCTACCCAACCTACATCGAGACCTTGCTCCGCGACACACCACCCACCGCGCACTTCGCCGTCATCGACCTGGCGCGCCTCCTCGTCCTCGACCCGCGCATCGCAGCCTACTTCGCCTCCCAGCACCCGCCGTCCACGCTGCTAGCCCTAACAGACACAACCCAGGGTAAGGAAACACCCTACAACAAGATCCTAACCACGCTACACCTCCTCGCAAACCTCGCCTCCACCACGCTCCCCACAACCACCCTCCTCTCCACCTCAGCCCTATCCACCACGACTCTAGCAACCCTCACCACGGCCTTATTCCACCCGACCCCCAAAGCCCGGTGCGCGGCCGCCTCCCTCGCCTACAACCTGGCGGCGCAGAACCACAACGCCCGGATCGACGGGAAGGGAGATCTCATGGCGGAGGACGACCAGGTGTCGCTAGTGGCGGGGCTGGCGGAGGCGATCGCGAACGAGACGGAGAGCGCGGAGGCGTTGCGCGGGTTTTTGATGGCGTTGGGACTGTTGGTGTATGAGGGGAAGGTGGACGGCGAGGTGAGTGAGGTTGTGCGGGTGCTGGGGGTGCGGGAGGTGGTGATGCGGAAGGAAGGGGTGTTTGCTGGGGAGGACAGCTTGGGGGGGTTGATTGGGGAGGTGGGGAGGTTGGTTTCTAGCTTAGGTTAGGTTTAGGTTGTTGTTGTTGTTTCTATGTGTGTACTATGTTATGTTGTGTGGGTGTTCAGGTTTCTATGTTATGTGGTTGTGAGTTGGTGGTTCTATTGTTTGGGTTTGTAGGGTTGGGTTGGGTTGGGTTGTGTATAGAATTTGTAGATATGTTATGTTATTGGGGATTGTTGGGATTGTGTGGTTATGTGCACGGTGTTGTCTTTGGTTTCATTTATCTAGTGTCATACTTTCTGTTACTTTCACTGGTTGCTGTGTCTGTCCTACATAGTAGGAGAGCTTTGGCCTCGCTTCTCTGCTCGATATCTACGTCTGATCACAAGAGACGCCGGTCGGAGTTACAATCAAAGTCCAGTCACGAACTACGACAGTCAGAACTACGCAAGTCAGGAATGCCAGATTCAGTACTACCTCGTATTCACATGCCATTACCTAGATAAAACGATACAACCATGGTCGCTAGTCATCAGAAAGAAAATCAAATAAAAGGGTATGTCGCTGAGCTATGCAAATGCAAACCGTGGAAAAAGCCGACGCGGGAGCTGTTCGTGTAACACGCTCGGGGTATGAGAAACAACAAAGACACAACCTTAGGTACACGACGGGGTATCTGAGAACATGGGATCGACGCTAGAAAATATTCAGGAAAGGGGTATTAAGTAGGTGTAGCAAAGAAAAAAAAAAAAAAAAAAAATACAAGACAGTGCTGTGAAATCCTGAACCGCAGGCGGAACGAACATGACAAGAGTGTTCCCGAAATGGATAAACAAAACCGAAGCGCTACCATGGATGATGAAAACCGCCAACGCCAGCGCAGAAAAACAAGATGATAAACATCAGGCGGGGTCACAGGAGAGTTCGGACAACGAAAACGAAAACACAGTCACCCTGGGCCAGCATCATTTCCGGGGAGTGAGTCATAAGAATAGTTGGTAGTGGTGGTGTGTCAAGCGAGATAAGATCCGAAGGGCATCAGACAGTAGCGGTGAGATGACAGCTCGGTGATAGGCGCAGGACCCTGTCCAACGTGCAGCCGACTGAAGAGGCGCCGAGGAGGGGAAGGGAAAAGTCATTTTGATTTTGACAAGCCATTTTCGCCGTGATGCGCCGACAGCGACGAGGAAATTAAGTAATCGAGCCAGAGGACAAGAAAATCAGGCAGCGAATCGGGCATGTCACTCCGGGGGTGGAAATTCCGTCCGGCTATGGCGCGTCACCCCCACGGGCAGCCAACCAGCGCGGCCCCTCCGTCAAGGCGAGGCACGTGCTGCCCGTTCGCATTAATCATCAGTCATCAGTCATCAGATGGTCTGGCGAAAACCCTTCGGATGTAGTTGCTGCGCTTTGGCACTGCAACGCGCTTTGTTTTGGGCCAGAGAGCTGTCGCTCCGATTGGTCTCTTGACACCGGGGAAACGCGGCTAAATGAATCGTTGACCGCAAATTCGAAACAAGTCTGGAAAAGTCCATGGTCTGTCGATCGTTCGACAGTGCTGCGCTAACAAACCAGTGAAGACAACGTGGGGCGATCAGACCGGCGGGGTATTGATAAGCCAAATGTTGATACAAGGCGAATTTGACAGCTCTAGGCACGAATCACCACCTTAGTGGCCGACGGAGCTCGCCGCTTCTTCTGCGGGAGAGCCTGTCGTTTCTTGCGCTTCGCGTTTTCCTTCTCCTGGGTTGCCAACTGCGCCACCCGCATGGCTTGCTGAGCCCGTGCGTGCGCCTGGACCTGGGCAAGGAAACGGGCACGCTGAGCTTCCTCTTCAGCGGCGGCGCGCAACATCTGGATCTGTTGTTCAGTTGTCAAGTCTCCCGGTCGGACGGACTCCTGTACGGCTGACTCTTCTTCCACGGCGGATTCCGACTGGGGGGTCAAGTCGAAGCAAAGCTCCTCGTCTGAGATGTAGGCGCTTCCAGTCGAGACTTCCGTATCCGTGCTGATCAGAGCCGGTCGGTTGGGCCAGGAGGGGAAAGCACAAGCGTTGCTCATGCCAAAGGCTGTAGAGAAGGAGCACTTGCGGGGTGTAATATCGAGTAGCGAGTCCTGAGGAGTAGGTGGAGGGGCTGCCGGGGTGGAAATCGGCGAGCCACCGTCCCAAGTAGTATCGAAGCTGAAGGCGACCGGGTCGGTGTTGGTTGATGCCTCACTGGGGGAGGATCTGAGACTGGCCGCGTTGCCACTCCAGGCCTGGAGTGGAAACATTGGTATCGCTGAAGATCGTGTATACTTCATTGTGTGTGTGAATAGTGGATGGGGAGATGAGGTTAGAAGCCAAAGAGGCGGTGATGGTTGGTTGTAATGGGTTGAACTCCAGTATGGTAGAGTGGAGAGGAATGTGTGTTGCTGACGAGAGATTCTGGGGGGAGCAACAGCAGATAATAAAGGTGACGAAGATCGACAAGTCTGGGGAAGGGACCCAGAAGGAGGGAAGGGAGGAATGGGAGGGTGTAAATAGTAATAAGCTCTGGCACCAATATTGGAGTGAATGGGTCAGGTTATGGTGAAGGACAGGAGATATGTATATGTATGGGTCCAGATCGATCGGGGAAGCGTCTGGACTCCCTTGCATGTCCCAACAGATAAGGCGTCGCGGGGGGTTGGTGTGATGCGTATTTTTTCCTTTTAAAACAAATAAAATAAAATCAAAAAGAAAAATAATCGATTTATTTTAATTTTCAAAAAAAGAAAAAAAGAAAAAAGAATAATGCAGGCCCCACAATCAACAGGCAGTGAGGAAAAATGATCGCCAAACAAAAATACGGGTCGAGAATTCCTCAAGACACATAGAATATTCCGTAATGCTGGCCAGTACCCAACTGACAACTGCGAGTCAAGCGCGACGATCAGGCGGAAGGGGCGTTCCGGCAGCTGTACGATGTATTCTGGATGAAGAATCGACTGGTAGGGGTTGAACGCTGAACAGGTAAGTTGGACAGATAGGGCGACCCAAGCCTGATCGAATCATTGATCTGTTCATTGATTCGTATCGTCGCTTCATTCAATTACAGAATAATGAAGCAGAGTTGATCAGTCAAAGAACAGAAGTACCACCCAAATCGGTTTGGACAAAGAGTCGCGAGAGTGTGTGGAAATTCTGACCGTGGAGAGTTCTTGACAGCAGACCCTGGTCGGTGGACGTGGATCTATCGCTTTTCTTATTTGAATTTGGTTTTGTTCCAGTCCTCCGGATTTATTTTAATTATTTATTGCATATTAATTTATTTGATGAATTTCTTTCAGCATCGGCCCGCGGGCCGGGGAACATCGGGTGGGCGTGGGGATCAAAAAAAACCGTCGAAGAGTGAGTCAAAACGGGGGGTGAAAGTTTCCCAAAAACTCATTTGATTATTTATTTATTCGTCTGTTCGAGTATTATTACCCGTAACTGTTACCCGACTAAGTAAGAATAAACCCGCGTACACCCCCAAGTTCCAAACCCTATGGATTTCTCGGTCCCTGATTTCGGTGCCTGGAGCTATTTCGGAGGAATTCTTCACCGTCATCGTAATCCTTTATCATATGTCTCAATGATGACTCGGATGACTCCGTCTCGCACCCCCAACTTTTCGCGGCAGAGTGAGAAAACGTGAAGGTGGTCAGACGCCTGGATTACGCGATCCAACCTTTATCAGTATTATTTTCCAACTGCCGCCGATATCATGATATATTTTGGGCCCTCGTGCATCTGAAACGGATTCTTGCGGTCTGTTGTCGAGACAGTTGTCCGTCCGTGCTCCTTCCAACCTGCGTAGATTGTCGTAACATTATTGAACTGTCCTCCCCATCCCCAAGCGAGTGGCGGATGGAGGGGAGTCGAATCAGACCGCGCATGAAGCACACCGCTTCGATGTTTGACATCCTCGCGGTGAACGTGCATACATAATACTGCGGGCGGATGTATGTCGAGCTGTATGTCTATCCAGCGGCAGTTACATCAGGTCACCGCCTGTACACCAACAATTTCTTGCGATTTACAGCACACCGCGCATTGCAATCCTGTTCCTTGAATCCGCATCCTTCTAGCGGTCTGAAATTGCAATCGCCGACCGATCGAGTATCCTCGACAATAGTCGCGACGGTAGTTGATTCAGTAGTAATTCTAGTAGCTGGGGTGATTTCCGCCTAGTTATTTCGTTTTCCGCCAGAAAAATCTAGTCGCCTCGTGCGGCCCAATGGCCTGGGAGGAACACAACTAAAATAGGAAATAAAATCGATCGCAAACGGACGGAGTTCCTTCGAAATGTGTTCCAGAGCCCATGCGCGGTATCCGCGGTGGAGACTCATTTTATTCTTTGATTTCTTCATTACCGCTGTCTCTTCTTACTACATTTTTTTTTTTTTAACCATCTCGGGTTCTTCATCCGCTGTCGTGTCCTGGATGAACTGTCCAGGAAGGCGTTGGATTTCGAATTTCTATACGGTGGGTGTCAAATCAGACGGACTAACTTTTGGGACCTTGACAGGCAGGATCAGAACCATGGAACGGTGCTCGCAGCGCTGACTACTTTAATCCCCCACGAGAACCGCCTCGGAAGATCATTGACCCAGGGATTTTGCTGGATTCTGGATATCCTTTAAACCGGCCGGAACTTCCCCGCGACTCGACCAGATCGGCCACACTATCGCCAGCGTCACACCGATCACGTTTCTAGTCAGGAGTAGAAACAATCCCCTGGTCGCACAGCCGACAATTCATCCGTAATTACTCCATCGAAGGGGCCCTGTGAAGGGTAATTACGAACGACTAGGTAACGATGGATGATGCGGCCCTACTCCACGTAAGTTCCAAGTTGCAACGGCCCCGGTTTTCCGTAGCCAAACCGTTCCTCCGGAATTCGCCCCAGTTAGGGAAGGATGAGGCGGAAGATTTCCTCCCGTTTTTCTCCGCCAGTGACAGAAGCTGGATTTTCACGTTCATGAATGAAGCGACCGCGGATAAAACCTGAGCCTCACTGTGGCGACCTTCGAGCCGGGTCGCCGATTTCGATGGACGCACTTCAGCCGAGGCTAAATGGAGCTGGACGCCAGAGTGCGAGGCTTCGCTCTGGAGGATCAGAGGACAGCTCGTGGTTAAATCGAGCCCTCGGTAATCGGGCCAAAGTCGCGCGAGGCCCGGTCAACTGGATCAGATGGTGATCGTGATCGAGTTCCAACTACCAGAGCTTTGGGATAGACCCCCCTATTACCCCTTGACACTGTTGTTGCGGCCCAATTGGTGTGGTTTGAATCCGTGTCTTAGGATTTAGCCTCTAGTTTCGTAGGAGGATCCATCATATTTCTCAGGTGCCCTTCTTCAGCTCATGTTTGAGAAGTACCCAATATGCGTCCCTCACAAATGGTATGCGTCAGGCTCCAGCAACCCATGTGCCGATAAATCTTTTTTCTCCTACAATTTCAAATGTTTGACAAATAGCTACAATGCGTGGACAAAGTACGAACTATGGAGATGGCAGCCAGTTGACAGGTAAACGGGAGCTTTGTGTGCGCAAGAGCTTCCCCAGACCTTAATAAGTACGGTCGGCTGGAGCCTCGGCAAGAGTGTCGAATCTAGACCCGTCGTCCGCACCGCCTAATTTTAATCAGCTACTATCAATCACGATCCATCAATAGTTCAGCTCAAACGAACCTAATTATTACTAAACATCCCTACCCCCGGGGAAAGCATTTCCGTCTCCCGCGAAACGATCGAACCGTCACGTCGGAATCCTTCCCCCACTTCCCTTCCTCGAAAAGATCGAAAAGGGAAATTAATTTTAAAAATAAAATCAAATCAAATCAAAATGGGTCCAAACGATCGCCAGTCGACTGAACAATGAATTTTCCCCCTTAGGGAAATTGTAACCCAACTGCCGGGTTCTCACTTCCCCTTCCTTCCGCAAAGGTAACCAGACTCGGGAAAGGCGGAACGAGAAGCCGGCCGTCCCAAGGGTGAGGAGAGTATGGGGATCGTTTCCCCTTTCATTGCTTCTTGCTGCACCCCCCCTCAGCGTCCTTTCCTCAGTGTTTGAGTGTCTGGGGTTGTGTTTAGCATTTCCGAGAAGAATTCCAACTTTCGTCCGCTCATTGGTGGATGAGGATCCATAGCTGTTTTCTCGTTATTTGGCATGGGTCTGCGATTCAGCATTCATCACATAGCAGAGATGACGACCACCTGTCCATTCCTCTGTATCCATCTGCAGAGAGGGTCACCACCTACATGCCGTGATAGATGTAGGTACGTACTGATAATTAAAGTACATTTGTCCTCCGTATCACCGACCATTCCCGGGTGTTCAGACCCCCTGCTGTTTACATCCGATCGCAGGATCGATCGAACGATAGGTCAAATCTCATCCCATGATCCCGGGTCCAACCCTGCATTACCGCCCCGTCCGGCTGTTTCTGCAACTGCATTGACTATCCCAATATTTGATGATTATTAAATGTTTTACAGATTGAATAATATTCCCCGGCGACAGGAGTACCCTGTTTGCCACAGCTGCCAAAGTACCATCCCCGCAGGGATTGCCGGCTCGGCGACGACGCATCGAAAAGGGCGGTGATACACCGCCTGATCGACTATTGGATATGAAGCTGCCATGCGAGCAACAAGATGGCAGTGAAGGCTGAAGAACACGAGACCCCCGGAGTCAGCGTAGTCAAATGTCTTGCTGCTTCGTTACTCAGCGTGGATCGAACACTGGGGCAACATCCCCAGATAATTCAGCCAACACAGACATATGACCCGTATTCTGAATCATGGGCCCATCCACGATACCCCAGGGTGTCCGCCGCCAGGGATGGCCGAAAACGTTCACTAAAATAAAACCATGGGGTACACAACCGCCGGCGAGGGAGCTGTGTGATCTTCAATCAAGGATGCACAACATTCCCGCGGCTTTGTCCGGGGTTGAATCGCCACCCAGCACAGGTCTCCATCTGTAACAGCTATTTCGGGAAGGACAATAGGCCCCAGCGCAAAGCACAGAGCTTCTTGCACATTGCGGAATGTGGTCCGGGTCCGGGGAAAGGTTGAAGGTGTTAAGGTGTCGACTCCTTGCAGCCGATGGAGCTGGCGGATAGTCCTTTCCGCGATCCCCGGGGTGGTTTTCCTGGTTCTCGGTTGCGAGCTTCGTGACAAGGGAGAAAAAAGGACTTCTGAGTTCTGGCGGACGCGTCGACCACCGCTTCCCCGGCTGATCACTTGAGCTCTGCACGGGGTGACCCAAAGATACTTCGTTCTATCAGAAAGTATAACCGCCACAATGCACCCACTTAAGGTATGTGGATTGTGGCGCCTTCTGCAAGCTGATGAATACAGTGCATAACTATTGCAGTTGTCCCCATCTGGATGTTATCTACCCAAACCCCGGGGGTGGCCCTCATGCATTGCAACGGATAGGTCCATTTGGGATCTACATACCTCCCACATAGCTCCCCCACTGTGGCTCGGGCTATGTGGCTAGTACCTGTCTTGTGGCTGAGCTCGCGCTACAATATGATTCAAGTAAGCTCCACTCCTTCAACGATCGGCACTGCGGGAAACAGGTTTCGCTAGGTCCAGCCCTTGGGATCGAGAGCAAAGTGCGACGGCAGATCTATCTCGACAGCCACCGACGACAAAGATCAGTCGGTCAATCTCGATCTATGCTGTCAATCCTCGATGACCTCACCGGGTCCCCGTTTCTTGACTGAGACACAACATTCCACCGATCGCAAATAATATCCGATCAGCCTGCACACGGGATCGATGATGACGAAGCCTGAGCGCGGTGTAGCGTACAGAGGAGTGGAATGTAGCATCCGCACTGTCCAAGTGGTATCAAACCTGATTTCCAACGCGACCAGTAAGACAGATAAGACACCTACATTTCCAAGAAAACACCTCCAGCCCAACTCAAAACCGGAAACCAGGAAACCAACGAGCCTCACACGTTACACAAGCATCCCCGCATCCAACACCATGACAACAGTACTAGGAGATACAATATCATCCTATCACCTCCATAAAACCAACAAACCAATATAAAAATTCGCAGTACTGAAGATAACAGAATAAAAAAAAATAAAATAAAATCAAATAAATAAAAAACAAATCCGCCAACAGACAGCAAAGTATGGCGATTGCTGACACTGCATAATCCATCAGCCTTGTAAACGGGTCTGCTGGCCTCGTGGATAGTTTGTCGAACCGGACTGGACGCCCTGTCTTTCTTTGTCACTGATACTGAGTTTAATCTCGGTTTTGTGGGGATAAAACGGAATGGCGATAATGCATCGCTTCTTTGATGGTTTTGGTTGTGTTTGTTACGTGGAAGTTTCTCCTGTACAACATTATGGCTATATATTGCTATAGCTATATACTTAGACTTAGATATTACATTTTGAAACTGGTATACAATACCCTAATTAGCAGGATAGAACATACTTCTCTCTCTCTCTGTCTCTCTCTTCATTCTGTCCAGATCATCATAAAGTGAGCGAACCCTGAGTACCCTAACCTGTAGATTCTCGACACGACATCGACACATATCTTTTCTACATCCCATCACATCATTTACTCAAAGCGACCAACTCTTATCAAACCCCCAGTTTAACTTTATCTTACCCCACCCTCATATCGACCACCAGACACACAACTCGATAAGCTGCATGATATATAGATACACAACAGCCAAATCACGCTTCGACAGCGCTTCTCGAAAGAATATCCCAGTAATGGAACCCCCCGTTATCAAGCCGCCTCGTCAAACGAGCTATACATTGCTAGTATGCTGCATGTATTATCACCAGGATTAACAACCGATGTCTTCATGGCTATGTATTTTATCTACTAGTATCTAGGTGGGCCCTTTGCTATGCAGGATCAACGTTTTCCTCGATAATTGTTAGGTTAAGTCCATGTCACTGCCAGTTCGGGAGATTGGTGAAATACCAGCAGCCGCCGAAATACGTCAATGAATCGAATCATATGCTAATCATATGAAAACCGAAGAAAAACCACCTTGCCACACTTACACACTCCCTTATCAAATACAAATACCAAATAAACAAAGATAAGTAAAACAATCACCAAATACGAATTCAAAACCAGAATACTGTATTGCTTAAAAATCAAGGTAGAAAAATAAAAAAAAAAAAAAAA